TTTAAATCCTCCTACCTAAAATTCTCCCATCAGATTTGCTACTAGCATTTGGATATGCCATTGTAGTTGGTGGATTGTGGAATGCTCTAAGATTTCTTAAACAAGTTTAAGAATCCAAGAAACATCATCCATGTATAAAGCATCTCCTCTGTCTCAAGATCTAGTCTTTCAGACTCCAATTCCTGGAGTTTAGCAGTTGGTCAAGCACTCAGTGACTCACTTCTAGGAACTTGTGCCTTGGAATCAGAATGCTAATATGTGATCCCATCCATTGTTGCAGAAGCCTGCTGTGGTCACTGCTTGCCCCTTGTACTTGCTGCTTTTGCTGCCTTCTGCCTGCCATGAACTGTTTCTCCTCTGCAATGCCCTTCTGTCATGCAGCCCTGCTTTGAAGCCATCTAGTTATGGACTGACACCTCTACAAACTGTGAGCCAAAATAAACCTTTCCTCCTTTAACTCTGGGTGTTGAGTATTTTGTCTCAGCAATGAGAAAACTTAACTAAAACACTGATCAAAGACCTGACCTGTTTGTTTGTTTTTTTTTCAGTTCATTTCACAGCAATACTGAAATAAGTTTCCAGGATTAGCCAACTAGTAGCATTATCTCGATTAATTCATTTAAGCATAGAGTCTTTCAGCCTCAGAATTTTATTGATCAGTACCCTCAAATTAGATCAGGTTCTCAGGATGTAGGCTGACAATGACCACGCTTCTCAAACTAGTCTATAAACCAGAATACAGCTGATTAAGTTATGAGACTAGTAAGTACCAAAGAGACTGAAGAGACATATGCTCCAGTCCATTCAAGTTGTGAAATAACTACAGAAATTATAGAAAGAAAATAGAAGGGCATTTTAAAAATCTGTTAGATTTTTAAATCCTACATCTCTAAGGAAAGTGGTGGGTGTTTGGAGTTAGAGGAGTGATAAGACATAAAGAATGAGATGGAGACGAGGCTAACTCGCTATAACTAGGAAGGCAGTGTGCATCATGGGGTTTGTGTTTAGCCTCACCAAGACACATGCATTTACATTCCACCCTCACTGGTGTGCATGACACAAATAAAAAACCAGAAAAAAAGCAATTAAGTGTGAGGAAAGCTCCTTGTTTTTAAGAGTTTTTAAGTCTTATTTCGAGCTGGGCATGCTGGTGCACACTGTAAGGTAATCCCAGCACTTGGGAGGCTGAGGCAGGAGGATCCTTGTCAGTTCTTGGCCAGCCTTAGCTACAAAGTGAGTTAAAGACCAGCCTGAACTGCATAGTGAGACCCTGTCTCAAAAAGATTAAAAAGAAAAAAAAGCCATTTCTAGGGTTCCAGAAGAAAAGTATGTTTGGTGTCTTGTTCAGTTGGAAATTCATAAAATGAAAAACAAAACAACTGAGCTGTACGAAGACCTGGGCAATTGTTTTGTTTTTCATTTCCTATATTGCCTTTTCATTTGCTATATTTCCACCAATAAATAAAATAAAAATTTAGAAGAACAGTAAAACAGAAATTTGAATATGTTTGTCTGGGTAACAGATTTAAAAGAGTTTAATAAACCATCTCAGAGAGGTCTTTGTTGAGTTGATTTAGACCCTATACCATGTTATTACAGGGGATTCCAGTCCTAACACAGTGAGGTCCTAACATTTCAAGGAACTGCCAACACACTTCATTTCTTTGTGTTTCAGACAAGATATGCAGTATAGGTAGAATTTATTGCAAAATGATAGATTTTCAAAGAGAGAGAAGACACCTCAAGAAAGTAGGGGTAGTGGTGGTGTCACCGCAGTGTGGGAGCAAAAAGATCCATCTCAGGCTGTCTTGTCCAGGGGTGTGTGTCCAGGGCACTGCAGTCAACCAGGAATGGAAACTTTACAGCAGTAAGGAATTAAAGATACAAAGCTCAAAGGGGAAAACAAAAACACTTTATTTGAAAGAAAGAAGAGAAACAGAACAGAAAGCTACCCTGTGAGAAAGTCGGGCCCGGCGCTGTACACCCAAGGGCCTTTGTCTTCAGCCTCTTTTATTAGGTGGCAGAAAAGACCCTTCCCCCCTGAGCTTGTTACAGCCTGATTGGCTGTTTCAGGCCTTAGGATCCTTAACTTGGGCACTATTGCCTTCCTGCAGATTCCTAAGTGAACTGCATTTGGTTTCTTTGTCTTGTTAGGGCCCTATCTCCTCCTGCCTCAGCCTCCCGAGTGCTGGGATTACAGGTGTGTGCCATCACACTCAGATTCTCTGTCCCTATTTTAAATTCTGTTACCCTCAACTACAATTTGAGATCGTATGTTTTGCATATTTTTCAAAGGCACTGAATCTAGAACCTGGGGTGGATGCAGGTTCACACCTGTGTTTCCAATGGATGACAGGACTGTTCCTTACTGCCGTAGGTGAGGACAGAGGCTTTGGCTCACCTTCTGCCTAGTCCTGTGGTCTCCAAGATCCCTGCAGAGAGTATACTTCTGGGTGACCCGATAGCTTCCATTCTCAGTGATTCTTTGGTTGCTTCCAAAGAGAAGCATCTCCTCCATGAGCACTTTCAAATCCTCAGAATCTTGGACTTTAAAACAGACCCCCATTATCTGCCACCACAAATTCCTACCTAAGATGGACTATACAACCCTTAAGAGTGGCATGAAATTAGGATGTGAGACATAAGGTATTAGAAGAGAAAAATTCCAGCAGTCCCTGTATTGCTACTGTAATAAAATAAAAATAAATAAATTTTTTTTTTTTTTTTTTGTCTTTTTGAAACAAGGTCTCACTATGCAGCTCAGGCTGTCTTTAACTCACTATGTAGCCAAGGCTGGTCTCAAACTCACAAAGATCCTCCTGCCTCAGCTTCCTGGGTGCTGTGATTCCAGGTGCATGCCACTACACCCAGCTGAAAATTAATGGAATTTAGTCTTCAAAATGATGAAGTAAGATCATTTACACGAAAGCACCCAAGCCGGCATGGTGGCGCATGCCTGTAATCCTAGCACTTGGGAGGCTGAGGCAAGAGGATAATTGCAAGTTTGAGACCAGCCTGAGATAGAAAATGAGCTCAAGGCCAGTCTGAGCACCATAGCGAGACCTTGTCTCAAAAAAAGACAAAAAAAAAAAAAAACAAAAAAACAAAAAACCCAACCACACAAACATGCACAAAAGTACCCAGCAGAAAGCCTGACACACCAGATCCACTGAAAATGCTGTACATTTACTGGAAGTGGGAACTTTGGTTTTCACTTTACCTGTGAACTCAGCTTTGGGCTACTTCCCCTCCCCTCAGATCCAGTGTCAATTCCACTATCAAGAATGTGAGGACCTCACACTGGTCCAGAACACTGGGGTGTCTGCAGTAACTGGCTACCTTGTGCCTTCTTTATCACTGGATCTTCCAATCCATTCTATGGAATCCAATGTGATCTTTTTAAATGCAGGATTATATACCTCCCTGAGGCACCTTCCTGTCTGAAGGGCCATCCTCCTAGCTCTTGGTACAGCCAGCTCCTTCTCCTTCCTCACATCTCAACTCGGAAATCACCTGAGAGAGCCCTTACTTCACTGTTTCTCATTACCGGGTCACTTGACCGCTTCATCCCCAGCCCCTCCCCCACACAGTGGAGGATACACATCCCTTCCTACCCTTTCCCCGCACTCTGACAGCCGTAGCATCTTCCTTTGGAAAGTGCCCCTCTTCCTTCCTTGGCTGTGGTAGGGTTGTTAATTACACTGCCCTCTCCCCCCACCCCGAATAGGCACACGACTGAGATGGGGTCCATCAGATTTCTTCTCTGAAGGTTTACTTAATGGAGGGGGTGGGGACAGTTCTATTGCTAAGTAGGTGATGTAAGACTGCAGCCCGTGCAACCATCATTACGGCTGTTTCTTTCCTCCATGCACAGGGGTGAGCTGACTGTAGGAGACCAATACACCAGGTAGTCCTGCTAGATGCAAGGCCAGTTTCCACAAAGCAGTAGTTCGAGTACAATCGAACTCAGGACCTCTCCATTGCCAGGGAGGCGCTGTGCCGCTGAGCTATAACCCTGGCCAAAAGCAGTAGTTTTTAACTAGCTTGAGTTGGGTTTCAATTACAACAAATTAAATCCCTTACAATGCTAATGGGCAAGACAGTATCACCTGTAGATTTTATATAGGAGGTGATACACTCCTACAGACGGTATTAAAATGGATTCAAATCACACAATGTGAATATACTCAACCCTACTGAACTTAAAATGGTTAAGATGGTAAAATTCTCTGCATTTTAGTGCCACAGAGGGGCTAGAGAAAGGGAAATAAAGGCCATTATTATTATTATTAAGTATGAGGAATCGAACTCGGGACCTTGCGCTTGCCAGGCACGCACTTGTGCCCCTGAACTATATCCCCGGCCTGAGGCCATTATTTTTACTTTATTTATTTATTTATCTATCTATTTATTTATTTATTGGTCTTTTTGAGACAGGGTCTCACTATGCAGTTCAGGCTAGCCTTGAGCTCACTTTGTAGCCCAGGCTGGCCTCGAACTCGCAACGATCCTCCTGCCTCAGACTCCCAAATGGTGGGATTACAGGCGTGTGCCACCACAACCGGCCAGGCCATTATTTTTTAGCAAAACAGAAGAAACAGTGATTAAAGTGTTCTGCCTAGCATTACATAACACGGCTATTAGGCAGCAAGACCAGGACCAGAACCTTGCCTTGCATGTTTATACATCCTCTACCTTATCTGCCTGAAAAACAGCATAATAGAGGCTACCCTAGGTTCATACAGAAGGCGCTGTCAGCTCTTTCTGATTCCTTAGATGTCATATATAGCTAAATTTTTGGGTTTGCGTTTTGAAACTTACTATGCAGTCCCACTAGCTTTGAACTATGTAGCCCAGGCTGACCTTAAACTCACAGAGATCCTCCTGTCTCAGCCTCCTGAGTGCTACGATTACAGACGTGTGCCACTACGCCCCACTTCATGGCTAAATATTAACATACAGGTTTTAAGAATTTATTTCATTCTCAGGGAAATACAAAATAAAGATGGGGAGCGCACTGGTTCATGTTTTCACTCAACAAGTTGAGTTGGTGCATAGCATTAGGTACTGCAGACTACGAGGTGAAGCAGGAAATCCCGCGGGGTCAAGCCTTTTCAGGCCTGGCCTAAACACCTCCGAGAAGGCTCAGAGCGGCGAGGAGTCCTCCGGTCCCCGGCACTAGCTACTCCCCGGAAATCAGCGGCGCGACTTCGGATGCCGGGCTGCCGCTGCGCATGCTCACGAGCCAAGCTTCCGGACTACGACTCTCGGGGTGCACTGCGATATTACTGACGGATAGATTAGCCAATAAACACTGAAGTCTGTTCCTAAAACTCCAATCCCTTGGGGTGGAGGCGGGCCCACCGGCGGTGGTTTCTTGGAGCCAGTGGGCGTCTCCGCGGCCAGCGGCTTCGGCCCCGCCCCCGGCCCAGCTCCTGGGTTAGGGTCCTGGGTCCCCAGAGAGGTGAGTTGGCTGGAAGTGGGCCTGCTGCACTAAGCCGCTGGGGACCGTGTCGCAGGCGTCTGCTAGAGCTCGGAACCTGCCGCGCCACGGAACCAAGCGCCCGATTGCCACCGCTGTGCCAGGCCGGGGGCCGGCTGGGCCTGCGGGCCCCGCTGCACCGCGCACTCGCGACCCCCAGCCCGCGCTGGCTGGGTTGTGTATTCCACCGAGATGCCCGAGGTCGATGTCAGCCAGGATCCGGGAGAGTTAGTGCAAGCTACCTGTAAGACGGCTTGAACTTTTCCTGGGGATTCCTCTGCCAGCCCGTTAGATCGTACTGCTCTTGTCTTGTGAAATCGCGTGTGCTAATTACCGAAATAAATGAAATATTTTCCCCAGTTCACTGTTAGAATATTAAGTCTTTACTCTTTTGCAAGACAGTTTTTTTTTTTTTTTTAATCTGACCGAAAAACAAACTCCTCCTACACCCACGGATTGTTGTCCGAGTTTGGGGGAGGGGCGTAAAGACTCGCAAATGAGAAGGCCGTGTCTCTGTATCCATCCTAACATCCCCAGACGAGCTTCGTTTCGCCGCCTTTCTAGCATTCACAGAAAATTCTCCAAGGTCATGATCCCGAAGGCTTGACCAGTTTCCAAAAAGGGAGAAATTGTTTCCAGAGACCCCAAGATGGCAGCAAAAATGGAGATAACTTTGAGCTCCCACGATCAGGCTTCCTCCAAACAAGAGAGACACATAATAACAAAGCTAGAAGAGAAACGGGAGCCCGCTCTACCAAAAAACTGCCCGGATCCTGAACTCTCCCGCCAGAGCTTCAGACAGTTTTGTTATCAAGAGGTATCTGGACCCCAAGAGGCGCTCTCCCAGCTGCGGCTGCTCTGCCGCCAGTGGCTGCAGCCCGAGCTGCACACCAAGGAGCAGATTTTGGAGCTCCTGGTGATGGAGCAGTTCCTGATCATCCTGCCCCCGGAGATCCAGGCTCGGGTCAGGCATCATTGTCCAATGAGCAGCAAGGAGATTGTGACCCTAGTGGAAGATTTTCACAGAGCGTCCAAGAAACCAAAGCAGTGGGTAAGAAGGGCCCTCTCGTGGCCCCCAGGATTTCTTTCCTTCCCATCTGGGTAATGTTTCGCCTTGGGATCCCTTGCTACTTAAAGTCCAGGAGGACTGGATGGCTTTGAAAGATTGCTTCCAGCCTCCTTCTGGAAACTCCTTTCTAGTTGTAACAGGTTTGCAGAAAACCCAGTTATGAGCATGTAGTGAGGAAGCAGAGGATGATGGCTTTTACCGTTCTTTCATGAACCTCACATCCCTAGTAGTTTTAAGGTTCTTGAATCTCTGCTATCAGATCTTCTTCCCCACCCATTCCTCTTGAAGTTTTCTTGCAGTCAGAATCCTTACCAGGCAGGATCAGTGTGTTGGGTGTTAATTTTCCTTTGGGGGAACTTCATGTTCCAGTGAAGTGTCTGCCATATTGTCTTTGAATCAAGAAGTTGCAGCTCAGTTGCCTGGTATTGCTATTCCTTCCCACCGCATCCCCTAAGTTGGACCCCAGCCAGGGCTTACACAAGAAGCAAACAAGATATGCTTTGGAAAATGGACCCTGTCAGGAATCAGGTAGGGCAATCCTTCCAGACCCCTACCACTAATGGAGCTCCCTGCCAGGAGAGCCTTTAGCATAACAATTTTTAGATTAGAATTTTTTGTTTTTGTTTTATTTATTTCTCTCTCTCTCTCTCTTTTTTTTTTTTTTTTTTTTTTTTTTTTTTTTTGTCTTTTTGAGACAAAGTCTCACTATGCAGTTCAGGCTGACCTTCAGCTCATTTTGTAGCCCAGGCTGTTCTCAAACTTGCAACAATCCTCCTGCCTCAGGCTCCCAAGTGCTGGGATTCCAGGTGTGCACCAACACGCCCAGCTGTTTTTGTTTTATTGAGACAGCGACTTGTTTTGTAGTTCATGCTGATCTTGAACTTACTGTGTAACCCAGGCTGGCCTGAAACTTTCAGTGATCCTCCTGCCTCAGCCTCCCAAGTGCTGGGATTACAGGCGTGTGCCACCACCCCTGGTTTAGAATGGTTTTTAATGGTCCCTTACCATATTGCTTCCTGTTCCTACAGGGCCTGTTTCCAGGTGAAGTTGAGAGGGAGTTGGGTTATAGGGTAGGAATCTATGGGCCAGAGTCAATCCTGATATTTATGCCACCTGTCCTTGGATGACTGTGACTCCAGGCTTTGTGAAAAGCCCACGCTTGAAGGGGGAGCCACTTGAGAAGTATCGGCTAACGTGAAACAGCTTCATTCCTGTCATTGTGAGCCTTCCCGTGGGACTCTTCAAGGGTTTAAGTGGTGTACATCAAGTGGACCTCTAGGCCATTAGCAGGAGTTCCCGAAGTAAAGGGTCATCGCATGGCGCTGAGCAGAAATGCTGCTCACTTAGTCCTAACAGATGGCATTTTATTTTTTATTTATTTTCTTATTTTTGTCTCTTTTTTTTTTTTTTGAGACAGGGTCTCGCTATGCAGTTCAGGCTGGCTTTGAGCTCACTTTGTAGCCCAGGCTGGCCTCGAACTCACAGCAATCCTCCTACCTCAGCCTCCCAAGTGCTGGGATTACAGGCGTGCACCACCACACCCAGCAACAGATGGCATTTTAATGGATACGGCTTGTTCCTAGGTGGCCGTTTGTATGCAGGGGCAGAAGGTGCTGTTGGAGAAAACTGGATCTCAGCTTGGAGAACAGGAACTGCCAGACTTTCAACTACAAACTCCTAGGCAAGATCTCAGGGAGAGCTCTCTGGAGGAGTCTTCCCAGGATGAATCTCAAGATCAGCTGAGCGTTCAACATTGGGAGAAATCCCAGCTCTTCCAGGAACCAGCCCCCAAGTTGGCTGTGACAGGTAAATACCTGCCTTCTCTCTTTCTCTCCCCAGCTCTCTATCTTCATCAAAGTATCTCATGGTTCTGCAAAGACAGACCAGCGGAATATTTGTGTGCACACATGCACGCATGCCTTTTTAATGTTTTATGTAATAAGAGATGTTTATTCCCTTAAAAATTTCACTACTTAAAATGGCAATGATACTATAAATCAGTATATTTATATTATTTTATGTTCGTGAATATTTGACAAGCCGATGCATGGCAGGATTATTCTAGTATCTACTTTCCTGTCCCTTTCAGAGCATCTTACAATAAAGACAGATCCAAATATAAGCACTGGTGAACTTCCATGCAAGCTTTGACTGAGTTTCATTACTTAAAGCTATCCCGTGTTTAGAAGGGCTGAAAGAATGTTTTGCCTAGGGGCTGGGGATTTAGCTCAGTGGCAAAGCGCCTGCCTGGCAAGCGCAAGGTCATGAGTTCAATTTCTGGTACCGGAATAAAAACGAAAAACAACAACAAAAAAAATTGTCAGAATGTTTTGCCTAGTGGAGAAAAGGTCACACTCTGTGTTCTCTTCCTCTTCCTCTATGACATTGTTGTGCTTTAAACTCTTGTGTCTGTTTCCTTGTCTCTGGTACAACACCAGTGTAATTTCTGGCCCCATTCTACACAGCCCTATGACTGCTAAGATTGACTGACTGACTGGCAGTGACACTTGACCAGTCTTGGTGATGTAAATACAGGGTACAATTAGCAGGCTAGAGAGCCAGTTATGCAGGGTGTGGTGGTGCACGTATAATCCCAGCACTTGGGAGGCTGAGGCAGGAGGATCATTGAGAGTTTGAGACCAGCCTGGGCTACAAAGTGAGCTCAAGGCCAGCCTGAACTGCAGAGCGAGACCCTGTCTCAAAAAAAGACACCCCCCCCCCAAAAAAAAAGAGAGCCAGTTACAAGATTAGAGCCTTATTTCCTTAACATTTGCTACATTCATTGTGACACTTTGGTTCATAGACTGACTGAGCTGTTGTACTACTAGAGAATGGGTAGCTTAGAAACAACCCAAAAAAGAAACAACCGAAACCTATTTCTTACAACGTTGGAGGCTGGAGTCTGAGATCAAGGCATCGGCACGGAGGGTCCTCTTCCAGGTTGCAGACTGCCAACTTTTCTGTGTCTTCAACATGGCAGAAAGGGACACAGATTCCTCTGGGCCTCCTTAATCAGGGCACAAATCCCACTGAAGGTAGAGAGCTCTCCTGACCAAAGTCCATCACCTTGGGAGTTAGGATTTCAACACAGGAATTTTGGGAGAATGTAAACATTCAGTCCATTGCACTTTGGTTTAATTATTTTTAGACTCAGGAAATGGAGACCTGAAGCATCAGTAGCAAAGCTTGTGACCCTGGCTGAGGTCTTGCCCCTTAACCTTAAACCTTTGTGGTCCTGAAGAGAGTAGATCACTCACTCCCTTCTCCTGCATCAGGAGAGGCAGCAGGTCTGTGTATGCTGTCTCTCATCTCCTTTCCTTAGATCCCCAGAAGGGTAGAATCCCTGCTGTTTACCCTGTAGGGCCACCATCGCTGCCTTCTGAAGTGCACTGTCTGACACAGGCACCACTAACCAGGGGTGGGTATTGAAGTTTTTCTGTTAAGATGTAATTCACAGCCTGCATGGTGGCATACACCTGTAAGGAGCTCATACAACTCAATAGAAAAAAAGAGCCTGAGCCAGGCATGGTGATGCATGCCTGTAATCTCAGCACCCAGGAGGCTGGAGCGGGCGGATTGCTGCGAGTTCAAGGCCAGCATGAACTACATAGCAAGACCTTGTCTCAAAACAAAAAATTGAATTCACATATTGTAAGTTACCTTTTTGAAGTACACAGTTCAGTGGTTTTTAATATAGTCACGAAATTGTACTACCATTACCACTGTCTAACTCCAGAACCTGTCTCCTCAAGAGGAAACTCACTGTTACTAATGGCTTCCCAGCTTATCCCTCCTTACAGCCCACTGGCAACTATTAGTCTTTTTTGTCTCTGTGGATTTGCTTATTCTGAGGACATTTCATATAAATGAATTTACATAAGATGTGACCTTTTATATTGGCTTCTTTCCCTTTGGCATAATTTTGTCAAGTTTGATCCATGTTGT